CAACTGGAACTTTTGAACCAAGTTCTGAACTGTAACTTGAACTACTTTCACCCAATTTCTGAATTTCATCTGAAAAATTTGTATCAATACTATCAATATTTAAGCCTTAAATACGTACCTAAACTTTGGAAAGTTGCAGAAGTTATCATGATACCAAAACCCGGAAAACCACCTCATGATGTGTCATCTTATAGGCCAATATCATTATTGCTCGTTTTATCTAAGCTTTATGAAAATATACTGCTAAAAAGAATAAAACCGATCATAGAAAGACAGGAAATCATTCCAACTCATCAATTTGGATTCCGCGACAAGCACTCTACGATCGACCAAGTACACAGAATAAAGAATTTAATAGAAAAATCGCTGGAAGAGGGAAAAGTCTGTTCCGCAGTTTTCCTCGATGTAGCGCAAGCATTTGACAAAGTTTGGCATGAAGGCTTAAACTATAAACTAAAGCTGTTTCTGCTAAAACAATATTCTGATATTTTGGAATCATATATGTGTGATAGACATTTCAGAGTCAAACAGGACATTTTGAGTCCAATTTACGAAAAATAAAAGCAGGTGTACCTCAGGGTAGCGTGCTAGGTCCTTACTTATATTTATTATTTACATGCGACATCCCAAATCCAGAAAATTGTCATTTAGCAACATTCGCCGACGATACTGTTTTAATTACAGTGGAAAAAAGTATTGAACAATCAACAGAGAAACTGCAGAACGCTGTCAGTGAAGTTCAAAATTGGACCAAAAAATGGCGAATAAAATTGAATGAAACCAAATCAATTCCCGTTGATTTTACAAACAAAAACGTAAATCACATACAAATCACAATTAATGACACCCCTATACCATATTCAAATCAAGCTAAATATCTTGGTATGACGCTTGATGAGAAATTGCGCTGGAAAGCACATGTTAAGAAAAAAAGGCAAGAGCTTGAATTTAAGTATAGAAAAATGTACTAGTTAATTGGAAGGACGTCCAATTTAACCATACATAACAAGTTACTACTTTATAGGCAAATACTGAAACCAGTATGGGCATATGGAATTCAACTTTGGGGTTGCACTAAAGATAGTACATACAAGTTATTCAAAGATTCCAAAATAAAGTACTAAGAAACATTGTTAATGCACCTTGGTTCGTTCGAAATAGTGATCTACATCGGGAACTAGGAATTGATACTGTAACAGAGACTATAAGAAAGTACGCAAAAAGCCATGAAGATAGACTACAACGGCATGTGAATGTGGAAGTGATTCAGCTCCTAGACAACACTGAGCTAGTTAGAAGACTGAGAAGGGTGAAGCCGTTCGAGCTAGTGAACTGAAATTGAAAAACACAACAAAATAGTGCTATAAACACATCAAAATTGTAATTTACAGTTTAAGCAAAGTGGGGAAAACTGTTGAGTGAATCTCAAGAATTGTAAACTTTATAGTAAATTAGGTTAAAAAATAATTGCTAATTAGTTTTACTGTCTAGAATAGTCTAGATTGTAATGTAATAAACACAATGTGTTTGACAAATAAAGAAAATACTATCAATAGGCTCACAAGCAGCCGTATCTGAAATTGCATTTTCAATTTCAATGTTTTCTCCATGTCACTGTTCTGCATCAGGTCCAGTGGCGTAACTACAGGGGGGCCTAGGGAGGCCGGCCCCCCCCCAGACGTCGCTAGCCCCCCCCCCCCCCCCCCCAGGAAAAAACTTTAATAATTTGGTATTTTATGAAAGCTACGTTAGGTACCTATTATAATTTTATGTTATTAACTACTAAATTTCAACGGTAATGAGCGGCGATCCTGATCGACCCTATCCGATCCTCCCATCCACCAACGAACGATGCTTTGTGCCATTGTGACACCCCAAAGTCAGTGCAAATTGCAATGTGCAGAAGTGATACAGTAGGTAAGTTTGTTTGCAGTTGTTATGACGGTATTAACATAATTTTCCACAGAACTACTAGTTTCCAATGTTGTGGTAATCAATTGCCGTGAAAGTCCTACTCTTCGCGTTAATCCAGAGTCTTCAAATGCGGTTTTAAGGTTGTCCCAGGCTTCCTTAGCCGTTTTTGTTGATTGGATATGTACATAATTCATTGGATCAACGATCAACTTATAATAGTTACTTTCCTAACAAGTGCGCAAAGTGATACTTTCCCGCACGAAAAAGCAGTTAGACGAACGACGCGAAGCGGAGTTCGGATAAGCTTTGAGTGCGGGAAAGACACTTTGCGCAAGTGTTAGGAACAATATTTTTTCTACGAGTATCTTAAAAAAGTAGACGTTGAATTTTTAAAACATTAGAAAAATCAATCAAATCAAAATCTTCAAAAATCGTTTAAAATCTATTGGAATTCCTCAGAATGTCTTTTAAATTAAATCCCCAAAAATCTTTTAACATCTTCTGGCATTTCTAGAATACCAGCTAGAATATTTCCATGAGAGTCTCTTAAATATCAAAAATTCTACAAATTCCTAGCAGTACAGGCTGGTCCAATTTGGACACCTTTAATAGGAAACATCATGTTAACTAAGCGCTAATTTCAACTAAAACCCTTCATTTTGAGTATTAGTTTATTCAGAAACCATCAAAACATTGGAAAATCAAGTATAACTATGGTGATTATGCGTAACAAAAATGAGTGCGCAAAGAGTTTCCGTGCGCAAAGTTCAACTTTGCGCACGCAAATGAGTGCGCAAAGTGATTACTTTGCGCACGAAAGTAGAAAATAGTTATTTTCCTAACAAGTGCGCAAAGTGTTACTTTTCCGCACGCAAACACAGTTATACGAACGACGCGAAGCGGAGTTCGGATACGTGTTTGCGTGCGGAAAAGACACTTTGCGCACGTGTTAGGAACAACATTTTTCCTACGAGCTTCATATCAGGTAGGTAATAACAAAAATTAAAAAAAAAAAAAAACGATAATTTGTTTAATTATTTTTAATTAACTTGAAAGGAACCTATGCATTTATCAAAAAATTACATAACAGAAACAAATAACAGAAAATCCTCGTCAGAGCTGTTCATCTTAAAGCGTTTAAATTTGATGAGAAAGTTTATAGATTTTTGCATATAAATAGAGAACAAATCTGATGGGTCAAAGTTAATTTATAATTGGTGTTTGTATAGATGTTGGCTGATATAGAAATAGAGGAAAAATTTGTCATCATGTGTCAAAGTCGACAGGTGCACTTATTGTTGCTTGACAATTATAATTACTTTTCGGCACTCAGTGCGGATAAGGCCTGTATCCGCACTGAGTGCGGAAAAGTGTAACTTTGAGCCCGGAAATGCGTGCGGAAAAGTACTACTTTGCGCACGCTCGTAGGAAATAGTTATTTTCCTAACAAGTGCGCAAAGTGTTACTTTTCCGCACGCAAATACAGTTATACGAACGACGCGAAGCGGAGTTCGGATAAGTGTTTGCGTGCGGAAAAGACACTTTGAGCACGTGTTAGGAACAAAATTTTTCCTACGAGCTTCATATCAGGTAGGTAACAACAAAAATTAAAAAAAAAAAAAACGATAATTTGTGCAATTATTTTCAATTAACTTGAAGCGAACCTATTCATTCATCAAAAAATTACATAACAGAAAAACAGAAAATTGAAATCCTCGTCAGAGCTGTTCATCTTCAAGCGTTTAAATTTGAAGCGAAAGAAGTTTGTAGATTCTTGCATGTAAATGGGAACACAAATCTGACAATGTGTCAGATTATATTCAGTGTTTGTATAGATGTTGGCTGATATAGAAACAGAGAACAAATTTGTCATCATATGTCAAAGTCGACAGGTGCATTGATTGTTGCTTGACAATTATTTTTACTTTTCGGCACTCAGTGCGGATAAGGCCCGTATCCGCACTGAGTGCGGAAAAGCGAAACTTTGAGAACTGTAATGCGTGCGGAAAAGTACTACTTTGCGCACGCTCGTAGGAAAAATAAGTTTCGACCGAGCTTTTGACACTTTTCTGACATCTGCTTCTGTACCTACCTTCTATCGCAGCCCACAGTTCTTCCAATTCAAAGAATGCTTGTACAGCGAACTAACATTGCTCATAATTTTCTCGTCCTTTCAATCTCTCAATGGACGGTAACTGATAAGCAGACATCCTGAGTTCGCAAGCAAAAAATTATTATTTTTCGAATCTTTTTCTGCAATGGTTAAAAATTATGGGGTTTCTGGGGGGGGGGGGGGGGGATAACCTGTTCTTAATCAAGCCCCAAATTGTATGTAACACCAATAAAAATATCTGGAAGAGTACGGACGAATTCTATTGAACTGAATTACAAATTACAATACATACATATATCTTTTAAAGGTAAAGGTCAACTAACTAAAAACCGGTACCGGCGGTACCTATTACCATATTACAACAAAATGAAGGTATTATAAAATAATTCCAACAAAATCAAATGGAAAATAATTCTTCAGAAAATGCTTAAATTCCCATAATGGTGATAACAGAGGTAGGTACCTAAGAAATATAAGACAATAATTATTTGACACTGACCAGTGTGACTTTTCGGACACTGGAGCTGTGGAGCTTCGACGGCTCGCTGAGGCGCTAGCGATGGGGATAAACGACCCCGGTGCTTGAAGCCCCGGTCGAAAAGAACGGTTGTTTACATTTCAAAATTGTGATCCAGTGGGCTGGAACTCTGTAACGGATAGGAATCGTCATCCCTATCGCTATGGCACTAACTATCTTCTTCTCTCTTGTCTAAATCAATAGACAGGAGACGTCAATAGAGACAGAGAGAAATATATAGAGTCCCTGGGCTGGTTAAAAATTTTTATGGCGAAAACCATTGGTAGAATTAGTGGAAAAAACATGTACCTATTTCCGTCACTTTCTTTTACATGCTAGTAGAAAATGACACGAATACACTAAGTGCACACTGAACTTACCAACTGATTTCACTGTTAGACATTTCATATTTAAATACGGAACGCTACTGAGGATAACTCTCTTTCAAATGTCAAAATGAAATTTCGTCTAACTCTAATATTAACTTTCTTGAAATGTATTTGCTGTTTTCCTTTAGACGATCAAGATAAGTTATCAAATAATTCAACTAATATAAACTACATGATACAACATATCGCCAATGGAATCAAAATTTCCCCAGACGACTATTCTTTCATGGTAATAGTATTAAGAAGAAGACTCCAAATCAGTTGGAAAAGAGTATGTGGAGGAACTTTAATCAGAAGTAGATGGGTTTTAACTTCTGCCAATTGTGTAGATGAGGAGTATTCTTATTTTAGTATTTTAGCATCCAGCAATAGTTCTCACATGAGACCTCTCATGGTTTATGTCAAACAAGTAATACTTCATCCAGAATATCGAAATCATAATTATCTCAACAATATTGCTTTACTGAAATTGGAGCGAAAGCTGAGTCGCCAAACATATGATGTCGATTATGTCAAACTTCCTAGAGCTAAAAATGGTAGAGGCATCGATCTCGACTTGCCCTGCAAAGAAGGACTTGTAATGGGATGGGGTAAAACCGCTGCTGACGAATATCCAGAAACAAGTGAGCTCATATGTGCCAATGTACCACTAATACCATTTTTATATTGCCTCAAACTATACAACTCATACTACTATATTACTACTGTGGATAAAGATCAATACCTATTATGCACTTTGTCGCCGAAAGGAAGCGGTCCATGTAGAGTAGACAATGGTGGTCCTTTGATGTGCAATAACGTGCAAGTTGGTATTTTTTCATGGGGATTTGGTTGTGGAAAAAAATCCAATCCATCACTTTATGTTCCGGTCGATCAATATTTGGAATTTATTTATTCTGTCGCAGGCAGTCGTGCCTCAAGGAACGGTAATGTTGTGAATGTTATTGTTGTATTGCCTTTATTATATCATTGTATCTAATTATTATTGATATTGGTGTACTTATTATAAAAATAGTTTTGCTTTAAAGAAATAATATTAAAGAAATAGTCCATGGTTCCCTAAGAGACTTGAATGTAATCGAAAGGAAACCAAAACTCAAATTCAAGTCTCAGATATTATCAGTTGCTGATTACACGTGCTTCGCCTTACTTAGGCATGATCAGACCTAAACGCGTCAAAACTAAAAAACACAATCTGCACAAGCGGAGTGTAAAATGCCATTTTTTTTAAGAGAGTATACTTCTAGGAGAAGCTTCAAGCGGTTTTGGTACATTTCCCGTCCTGTCCCTTGAGGAGGACTTGATTGTTCACATTTTATTTCCTTTCTATCTTGCGCATGCAGGCGTATCATTTACCTTTTCTCAGAATCTTCTCTAGGAGTCCCTCTTCGCTCTACGGATCGCTTTGTTGCTTAGAGAGCTTCTTTAAGGAAATTAAAATCATTGCTCTTCAAGCTTTATCAAAAACCTTTCGAAATGTGTTTTTCTTTCCAGCTGTTCTACCGGTGGGTCTAGATCCCTGCCTTCCTGAGGTTTAACGTCAATCCCTGTAGACCTTCCCGGAGGGACTACTGGTATCCTTCCAAGTTATTGTCTCTTGGATTTCTAAACAGTATTTCTTCTTGAGTGTTCGAACCTTAGAGCAGGTAAAGCGCTGTCCTACGGATATAAGGAGTAGGAACGCGCCATTCTGCTTATGAAACTAAAGTAAAGCCAAGTTTTTGGCAGGTGTGTGGCACCAAAATGTCCTATCTCCTCTTTACCTTCACCTGCTCAAAAGGTTCAAACCTTGTGTCTATGGTCGGAGCATGCAGGTTTCATTGACACATGCCAGTTTTTGCTATTGGCTATGTTTCGATATCAACTGTCAGTACTGAATTTACTGGACGCCTTTGATATTTATTTTCAGTACACTGATCATACCCCGCGATCTTCAAATGTACCACTTGGTTCGATGAAAAACTTGTTTCATGCCCGGTAGAGGCGCTATTAATTGATTTGCGTACGCGTTGCTGATTGTATCTCCAAGGTATCGGGTCTTCAAAAAAAAAACCAATCGAAGATTGCCTTGATTACGAAAACGTACGTCGCATTACTGTTTCTTTATTGGTCAGGATTTTTGACATGCCATTTTGACATTAGGTTCATTGACAAAATGAAAGAAAAATTTTGCTAAGACATACGTTTAAAAAACCATAGCAATCTTCGATTGGTTTTTTTTTTTCGAAGACCCGATATCTTCGCTTCAGAAGAAGGGTGACGTGATTACTAATTAAATTATGACATGAACCGACATAAATTCATGAAATGACAAAAGATGACAAAACGATGAACTGGAAAACGTTGTGCTTCTTATTGTTGCTTTAATATTTCTGTTCGCTGAAAAAGTGTTTCGTAGTGATAGAGCATATCTGTGTGTATTTGTGGACTTTCACAGTGTTATGTTTAGTGTAAAAACTATTATTGTTATTTAATTCTGTGTTGTTAAGTGTTGACATTAGCCGCTTTCCAGCTGTGTGCTTCAAGCACGGTGCAGCACAGTGTTCTGTGTTTGAAACGCAGTACGACTGGAACACAAACACGCGCTTGAAGCATTTGCGCACGCAAAAGCTCGATTGCGTGCTCAAAATGGGCAGCTGGAAAGCGGCTTTTGTTGACAAGTGTCGAAAAGCCAACATATTTTTCTTCTCTCTTTGTAATAAACCGTTATTTGTTAAATTTGCATCAAATTGTGTCTTTATTATAAAATAAATAATAAGCAAATCTAAAAAAAATAAGAAGCAAACTGCTCTACAAGCTGCTACAATGGGAAGAGCTCATTTCATAGAGAACAGATGGCGCCACAAATGGTGGTCCGATCCGTATAACGGGACTGTCCATTCTATACCCACTATAAACCTTATTCTATGGCACTGATTCAGTACTGAATGACGTTTTGAATGCACCAGTAACGTTATTGATATTTACTGGACGGGAATTCCATAATATTTCCCTGCTGTACTTTTTTTTCCAGCAAAACAGAACGCTGTCGAAATCGAAACGACAGTAAAATCCAGTACTGGCAGTTAAAAACGGAAACTGGCCGAATATGGAAGTTTTGATAAAAGCCTGATACAGCACAGTTCAGGAGTTCAGCACTCTTCACATTGAATCCATTTCTGTTCGATCTAATTTCCAAAATTTTGAGGGGGTTGAGCATCAAGTTAGCCTCTTGTTGGATTTTTGTATTATTATTTTGAAGATGATGCTTAATTTCACTGGAAATTCCAAAAATATAAAAGAATTGAAGACACAACAACGGCTCGCAAGGCGACTAGTTATTTCTATGCCCGATCAATGGAGACAGGCCATAAGAACTTCTGGTTAGTACCTACGCTACAGTGACTCTATTGGCAATTTCGACTACCGATGGAGGCGCTGGCGTTTGTAAACAAATATGGCGAAGGACGAGTAATATTTTGACGTTCAGCATTGTATTTATATGCATTCGTATTTCTTTCGCTAATTTTCTCGTTCTCGTTGTTTTTCCGGTGGTTTTTTACTATATTTTATAAATTTTGAACGTTGTAACTTTCTGTTGGGCATTTCGTATCCATACAACACGAAATATGGAAAATGGAGGCCTGATTTTGAGTTTAGCCACAGTTTTACCCTACCTGCAGGCTGGCGTAGAAAGCACGATCACTATTTTTCTAAGGAGCATAATGAAAATGAAAAGCTCTGTCTGCACCTTTTCGGGAATGGCATTCGTATGCACAGCAGTTTGTGTTATGCTTGGACCGCTTGGACTTGGAGGCAGATGCCATTGAATTCCTGTAATAATAGCACCTCACATAGCCATTGTTGATTATTTTATTGGTACCTATTGTTATTTCGGATACTTTCCATCTCAGCTTCATTTGGCTCTTCTTCAGCTTCTTCTCTTCTGCTGGACCCTCCTTGGGCATGTCCAGCGTTCAAATTTCCTTGAACGAATGCTCGTCCATGGAAAACGTCCATCCGTGGCCTTTACACCTTCAGTTTTACCAAAGAATTTTCGTAACTTGGTTTTTAGTTACCTGTTGCTTACCTGCAGTCTTTTGAGGATTTGTCCTTTTCCAGACTTCCCTACTCCTGTGGTAGGTATATAAAAACCGTACAGGTGGAAGACGTTGGGATGTCTTCTTCCTCATGGGACTTAAGTGTAGCCCCCTCCCATGAATTTGGGGTCTGAATTTATTTCTTGACCCACTGCGAGCTTGGGCTATCTGCAAACCTTAAGATGAGTTATCCCAAATCGCATTTTTAATTGCCAAATTTATTAAATAGATATTGCATTGGTTTATTTAAATTAGCAGAAATTAATCCCAGGTAAAAATACCGAGGGATCAAAATATATAAATTCAATCTAGTCTAGAGTCTAGATTAACCCATCATCAGCGAAAGATCTACAGTGCCTGACAGAGAACATCGTACAGTTCAGCTTTGCATGTTGTACTGTCTGATGAATGACTGGCATAAAAGGCACAAAGATCGATTAATCTATTATCTGTATCTATAATAGTGTATCGATTCGTGTATCTGAATCGTGGCGAACTTGTCCAAACACCGCAGCGTTTCTCAAAAATCAATTAGTGCATTACTTTGCAGAATCGATCGTTAAATCGTATAAAGTTCGGCTAAGGGTTTAAATTGATATTCGCAGCACCTGTTTCGATACCGCCTAATAGCATATATGGTTTATAGACATTATTTTCTAGAGTATGCAAAATTAGGTGAAAATTGAAGGACTCATCTTCCTAAAATGTATCCTTTGTTGGTTCGCTTATTAGACTAAACCTCTAATAGATACTTAAGTAGGATCCATTTGAAGATAATAATATGATTTAATAGAAGAAGCATTGGTATGTCCCGTGATTTTGATTAGTAACTGTTCTCGAACCCCATAGTGGTTAGTTATTTTTGCGTTTAGGGTAATTCTTGTAACAACCCTAGATTTCGGATTCTTCCAAAAATGGTCGAACCAACCATTTTGTAATGTGTATGTAAACTTATCATATTTTAGGTGTTTTTAATTGTAATAACCGGTATTGCAGTATATATTATTTATTGTAATGCATTTAAAGCAAGTATACTTATTTCCATTTAAATTTAGGTTTTAAGGCTATGGTTCGAATATAACCAAGCGTTAACCAAAGTAACCGAATCGGTTGACAGATGGTTACTGAAAATTCCGGTTACTTGGGGAGCGCATATAGGAAATGAAAAATAATTGACAGAAATTACAGATAAAACCAACAAGAACCGACACCCGATGGCTGGTAACTATTTTGATATTTGGTTAACATTTCAGGAAACCGAGGTCCAAAACTAACCACTTTTCTAGGAACCAGAGTAATTTGATTACTTTTGGACCGCGAAACCATAACCCTGGTTATATTCGGATCACAGCCTTAGATTGCAATTAGGAGTCAACTTGATTTTTATGTAGTATCTATTCACAAGATGTCCAAAGGTAAAAGTAAAATTTATCACCTTTCAGTGCTATTTGATAGGGCAAGGTGATAAATTTATCTTTACCTTGGGACTACGGATTGTGAATAGGATATAAGTACTACTTCAATTTACGTGGCACCATACCATCTCTATTCAATGATTTTCGCCCATCTCTATATCCTTCTGAATAATACCAATCATTCCAGTCGCTAACGCCACCTTTATTGGCTAGCTTCATGCTGCAATTACTCGACTTGCCACTCTTTCTTGGTGGCTTGGTTAAGCAAGTCGACGTCAGTGACGTCAACGAGCCCTTCTGTTAAAAAACAGAAGTTTGTCAAAAGGCAAACGTGCTAAGTTTCCTTAAAAGTATCTTGAAGGGGTGAATCCTAAGGGCGAATCCTTCAAATTTCTCTCGGTAGTCGTCCACTTTTTTTGGTGATTTTATTGGAACATGCCAGGTATGTGACAAATCCTTTTTTATCTTGAACATCCCTTGAGTTTATGATTATTTCT